GAATGCTTTTATCTCATTCGTAAGTTTCGTTCGATACTTGGATTAAATGTCTTTAAGGCCTCTACGATAAGGGAAGCAAAGCTCGAAATTCGTTCTGCGGATAAACATTTTATTTTCTAAGTTCGAAATATTTCTTTCGTCGGTTTTTAGGGTAAAAACGGGACCCTTACTAAGACTCGTTTGTCCGTCTGTCATCAGTTGTATCTTATGTTTTGTTGTGACTTATAGACCCATTATATTTAGACAGTAGAAATTTTCACAGATGATATATTCTTGTTGCTGCCATAACAACAAATACTGAAAATAGAATAAATGACGAAGTGCGGCTTCCCATAGAACATGATTTTTTTGCCGTTTTTATTTATATATAGTCCGGAACCCTTCGTGCGCGATTCCAACACTCACTTAGCGACTATTTTATTGTAATATGAAATTAATAACTGTTATTTGTCGTATTTTGAAGAGCTTTTAAGAGAAGACAAGCTTACAGAAAGAAAACGTAAACTATGATTCAAATAAAAGCTTGCGATATTTTTTTTAGACAGGAAAAACATGTAAGTTGTAATAACGAATGACCTGACCCCATTTTTTGTAATAAACAGGAGGCTTTCGGCATCGCGAGTAACATATACCTACGAAATAACGTTCACTCAAAATAAAGCCAACATTTCATATCTTTTATTATTAAGCATTGCGAATTGTTGCGGTTCACAGTTGGGGAAAAACTGAAAGAATCTTAGTTGAATAGAAGGGTGGTTAGAGAGATAATAGAACTGAGCGTTTGTGACTGACGTCTAATATTATGCGACGAAAGATTTGATATTTGTTTTTTTCTTGACTTTTTTGTTTTGTTATATACTGATAAGTATATATATAAGTATAAGTATACCGATGAGATAAGCGCCGGGGCACGCGATCGTTGTCGTTAAGCAACTTTCGCAAGGGTCGGTCACAGGATGGGTGACCATAAAAATATTATTTCGAGCTACTCCGTCCTTCAGAAGGCACGTTAAGCCGTTGATCTCGGCTGCATTTGTAGTCGTTAATACCCGCCAATCCGCATTGGGCCAGCGTGGAGGGTCATGGCCCATGCTCCTTAACCATCCATAAGGAAGGCCTGAGCCCCTGCAGTGGGGACGAAATAAAAGGGCGATGATGATGATGAAGGATGAAATCAAGAAAAGGGAAAGCACCATATCGCGGGCTCAGTGCGGATCGGTGGGTATTAACAGTTATGGATGCAACTGAGACCAAAGGCTTAACGTGCTTTCCAAAGCACGAAGGAGTTCGAGTCAGTATTTATTTTGATATTTGATGATGGCTTTAAATGCTTGGAAATACGACTCAGACTTAACATTACGAAAAAAAAATATTTAAATGAAAAAGTACAACGCGTGGGGGTATGACTCGTTCTCTGCATGTGATTATTTTTTGAGGAAGGACCTATGAATATGTGTTTGTTTATGTTTATTTTATATATGTGTTTTTTTTATGAATGCGCTCTATGAAATAATAAACTGATAAAACATAGCTTTTTGTATAACATTTATCCTGTAGACAGACGGACGACTGGCCAAATATATCAAATATTTCGCGTACATTTTGTCGTACAATGTTTATTGTAAAACGGATAAACTAGGCCGGCAGCTTGCTTAAGAGGTATTTTTCCATGTGGAAACATTTTGCGTATTACGCTAGTCCGTGAGCATTGAAAAGGAAACATTTTATGGATGTACGTTTACGTAAAGCTCTTTCGCAGCTTTGCATCCCTGGTACTAACGATTAAGCTTGGTAGTCTGAAAATTTAATTTATTTTCATTCGACTTCATTTTAATAGTAACGTATTTTTGTGTTGGGATCTGTTCTATCTTTTGATTACGTTAAAAGCTTCCTCAAGCGGAGCGTCAAATAAGTGTGCTAACTAAAGTAGACGCTGCAATAATTTGCAGCACATGTCGAATTAGAAGTTTTGGACAAATTCTGTGTTCAAGCTTAGAATCGATCAGTACAAAAATATTCTTTATACAAATAAGCATTGCATTTAGTCTCTAAGATAAGCTGTTACTATGGTAAAGGTAATTTTATTATTTCCAATTTTTATCCTGATACAGATCTATGTCAGAAACTATAATGAAACTAGTACTGTTCGCACCAAACTGTTTACAATACAACGGAAATAGAATGACGCAGACGGCGGGCATAGTATAGTGAACAGCACATCGTTATTCACAATGAAACTTTCACCTTTATCGATGAGAGCAATCTTCGTACTCGGTACTTGTCTTAGAATATAATTTTAATAGCTTTCCTTATTCTCGTTTCGGACATTGTTTTATATATCTGATGAAAGAGTTTCGTTCATTAAGTCTCAATTATAGTCTACCTTGTTTATGTTACAACAGTTTGATGATGGCACCGCTTGACTCGACAGTTGCTGAAAATAGATTAAACTGTATCGGTGTACCAGGCACATTGTAAAACGGAAAGGTTATATATTTTCTACTGTATCATTATCTTTACCCATATTATTACATTTAGAATTTTGTATCATTTATGGACACGGATATTCAGTTTGAATCGAAGTATATCATCTAATTTTATTTTATATTGATCAAGACAATTTAAATACATTCTAGTCCAATTAGTATCTTTAGATATCTAATTGATGTTGTTTTATGATCAATAATAAAATAATAAATAACTGCTAGACTACCCGCGATTTCGCTCGCGTGGTCTAGTTTTAGGAGAAAATTCCATAAATACTTTCATCTTCGGGGTCGAATTTTGTAAAATCCCGTCTTAGTGAGCACCTACGTCCTAAAAAGAATCCGCATGCAAAATCTGAAACTCCAAACGCTTATAGTAATAAATTTTCATACGAACTTTCAACCCCTAATACCACGAAGATACCCTGACGAGAGACAATATATAAAAGTTAATTTACAACATTGACCCGACCGGAAATTGAACCCAGTACCTCAGAAGCCACAACACCACAGCCACACACACTCGGCTATGGCGGTAGGATTTATCAATAGATATTCGACAACATCTTGTACATTCCTGATACACTAAATTAATTAGCTCAAGCTCTTGTATTATGGAAATATGTGGCTAAAAGGAATAGTTTATTTTATTTCTACACTTCAGAACTGAACCCAGGACCTCAGAACTTTGAAATCGGCATGCGGACCTCTCGTCCATGGATATTGTTACCTCATGATACTAATAACAGTGTATTGGCACTTTATATTCTGTTTTTCAATAATTTGAAACTAGTGATATTGATTCAGGTGCCGTATCAAAAGGTGATTTTCTCCCAATATTTACAATATATGTTCTCATATTTCCAAAATATTGCCCAGTTGACTATGTAAATCAAATAGCAGGTACTTAGATAAATGTCTACTCAGTTTTATTGCACTGTCGACCGGAAAAATAAATCGGATGATTTATGAGATATTATGAGCTATTACTCTCATTCCGTGCCATATAAACAAACAAAGTCAAGTATCTATATATCAACAGTGAGATGTCTGATAAAGTGGATCGATCCATCTGGCGTGCGTTCTCAATTAGCTAGCATCTATATAGTGAAATTTGCATGGAATTTAAAGGCAATCTATCGTTTGTTGAAAAAGAGAAATTTTCTTTTAAAATAGCGTTTATTTTACGTAAAAGACTAATAAAAGGAGCTCAATGGCGTAGTGAAAAATGCTGCAGCCCGCGATCGTTATTGTTAAGCAACTTTCGCAAGTTTCGGTCATGAGATAGGTGACCAAAAACATATTATCCCGAGCAACTCCATGCTTCGGAAGGCACATTAAGCCGTTGATTTCGGCTGCATTTGTAGTCGTTAATATCCTCCAGTCTACATTGGGCCAGCGTGGAGGGTCATCTTCCTTAACTATCCATAAGGAAGGCCTGAACCCCTGCAGTGGGGACGTAAAAGGGCATCATCAGATGATGATGATGATATTAAATAATCATTAACATTTGGAATAGCTTTGATGTCCAACAGATGCCCTAATAGAAGCAGTTAGACCAACGAACCATGCAGCAAATGTTACAATTAATGATACACCATATTTTTGAATATAAAAGTAAAACCAATTTTGTGATAGAAAGTTAATTGCCAACGTTGATTTTAAAAATGTACACGTTTTCATTAAAAAAACTTACTTACTAATACTGGAATATTCACGTCGACGCCAACAGAAGAACATTTGTTCTTCTTTTCGGTTACTGAAAACCAGACAGATTGTACTAAAAGAAGTACTAAAATTCTGGTGGCGAATCACAATAGATCGTGTAGGTCACAGTGACTACATATCCACGAGGAACAGCATAGTTTCTAAACATATTTGAGTGAGATTAGTTGCATAAATATTATACGTTATTCTCTTCATTAGTAAAAATTAAAAGAGAGATACGCTATCGATCATTCAGGTATAGTTAACAGACAACTTGATCAATACAATCTCCACTTCATTATCAATAGTTTCAAGTTGCACGGCATTTCTAAACTCGGAGCTGTCTGTAACACTGCTTATTGCAATATCTTGGCGATATGCCAGAAATTGTTTTGCAATATATCTTACGATTTTTAATGAACTTCTCTTAAAACTATATCTTAATATTGCTCATGGACAAGTGTGTTATCATTGTCATTATGATTTTCATCATCATTCGGCCTGGAGCCCTATTTTATTTGAGGTGGGATTCCATACGCCTAGAACAACCGTTAACGAAACATTTCTATAGCATGTAATTTTTATATTATATATATATTCAATATTTTTTGCATTCACATCTCTACATCAAACTAATTTACAAACTACTCGCTACAAAAATTACTCCAATAAAATATTCAGCATTAAATATTACTTATCGCGTGAATTTACCTCAGATTAGAAGAAATAAATTATCAATAGAAAACAGTATGGCACAAAGCACTTCCGACGCATAATTTGTTAAAGTATATCACTCTGTAGAAGCACTTAAAGTAAAGTTGAAACTGTAAGAAGACAATAGTAACTGGCGTGACCCAGTTGAGAACTTGGTAGTTTCAACACCTGAATCTGACTGGCTGTTATAAGTAAAGCTGTCTTAGGCACAACCTGAGATAGTTTAAAACTTGGTAGATTAATAAAGCATTATATGACAATAGAATTGTTACAGTGAAAAATAGTTAAAGTTATGCAATTTCTACTTCTTGTTGACCTGCAAGTAAAAGAAAAATGTTCTTCTCATACGTTCACGGTCTTCACAAACAAACAAAGATTACGTAATTTCAGGTTGACTATTGGTCACTATCTGAATGATCTGACATATATCAAGGCATCATTTCAACTAGGATCGTATTCAATAATTCAAATATTTGTCAATTGTTACTCGTTGACTTTGTTTTATCTATATGTGAAACTCTGATCAAATTTAATGATGTAAACCCAAGATTATATAAAGACGATGTATACGCTTTTATGTATGCACGATGTATTTGCTGCGGTTGAAATATTGTAGTGTTTCGTAACAAAGATCTTCGAATCCCATATAAGTGATTCAAATAAGATAGTAGAAAAACATTAAATAAAGATTTAGAAAATAATTATTTTAGCAGACGAAAAAATAGATATTTAGCCAGATATTTATGCAAAACTCGAAGGTAAAGTCGATTATGGTTTATTCTTACTTGAATGGGACAATACCGTGGCTTATAAAACTCGCTTAACTCGCGATCAATATAAACCAGCTCATTAGCACACAAATGAGTTTTGAACTTGAACGTCTCGATAAATTGTTTGTGGTTAGAATAAATTCGGAAAGTGAGAATAAATTGAGGATATTGAGTGAAATTCACGGACGACAGACTTAAACACTTCAGCCATAACTCAAAATAATTGGTATTTAAATAAACTGAAATCCAAATTCAGAATATTCAGAAACTGAAAGCATACTCATTGTCCCAAATCGTCAATAATTCAAATATTGTTTAATGTTATACGAAAATATCTATTCAACTCTACCGAACTTCCGATAGTACGTTAAGCCGTTAGTTCCATCTATATATGCAGTCTTTAACACCCACTAAATTAGGGACAGTAATAGGCTAATAATGTGTCAAATCAGAAAACTAATTTATTATAACAATGTTATGTTTTTCTTACTAATAGTAATAGTACTAATAGTAATCGTTTATTTGCTATTAAATGAGGTATTATAAAAGATGGAAAGAAAATTACAGTTCAGCTCACTTAGCTATTACACTAGCATGCAAATACCATATTAATTAATTTTAATTTAATTATTACATTCAAAATACAGGCAATTAAAATAATTATTATTTAGGACTAAATCATTATTATAACCATTAAAAAATGTCAGAAAATAAAAACTATGTCACTACCATTATAACAAATTCAATTCAATTCAATTAGAAATACAGAAAAAAAAACAATGTCATGGAACATTCATTATCATAGTGTTTTGTCAGCCAAATACTCATGGACCGAATAGTAACATTTATGCATCAAGAGTTTTAACAGGCTCTTTTTAAATAGATTGAGTGAAGCATCTTTGATATAATTCGGCAACCCATTATAAATTCTAACAGCCATCGGATAGCAGCTGTTGCTTTGCATTGTTGTAAACATACTGGGTAACACTAGTCGTTCAGGATATCGTCCCCTGTACTCATTGTTCACGTCACAGTTTCGTTTAAAGAGTTTGTTGTTAACTCTTACAAAGCAACATACTTCATAGATATAAATACATGGCAATGTTAACAATCCCAAAGTCTGAAAATATGGTTTACAACTTATTTCTACGGATAATTTACATATGGAGCGTATACATTGCTTTTGAGCAATGAACGCCCTATCGATATCTACTGAATTACCCCAGATTATGACTCCATATCTTAGAATGGAAGCCACATATCCATGGTACGCCAAAAGAGCAGTTCTTTCGTCTGTAATGTTTACAAGTCGCCATAATACGTATGCAAATTTGCTGATTTTGTTGCACAACTCCCGTATGTGTGGCTTCCATGTACAGTTACTATCCAGTATTAATCCTAAAAATTTTATATCTTTACTTTCCCCAATCGTTTGTCCCTCATGATGTACTTCAAGATTAAGTCGTTTATTATTTTTTTGATTATGAAATTGTATATATTTTGTTTTTTTAATGTTAACTCTTAAATTATTATCTTTTAACCAGTTGATTATTTCTTCCATTGTTTTATTAATTTCATTGTTGTATTCAACTACAGATTTGTTTGAATTTGATACCACCACTGATACATCGTCTGCGAATAACGAACAAAATTGCTTAGTGGCCTTAGGTAGGTCGTTTATGTAAAGAAGAAATAGAAACGGGCCCAAGATACTACCTTGTGGCACACCAAATTCCTTTATATTTCCACTAGATCTATAATTAATTTCATTAAAACAATCATCCAAATTTGAGAGTTCCGTGTATTGTAATCTTCCCCTGAGATAAGTTTGCAGCCAGTTATAAGCTTTTCCTCTAAGACCATATTTTTCACATTTGGCCAGGAGGATATCTAACGATACATAATCGAATGCTTTACTCATGTCAAAAAATATGGTCGTGACTTCTTCCGATTTATCTATGTAAGTCATAATTTTATTTGTCAGCTCAAACATTGCCAATGCCGTGGACTTACCTTTTTGAAAGCCATGTTGATTTACATTAATAATGTTTTGTTTATCTATGAAGCTATTCAACCTAACCAGCATAGCTTTCTCGAATATTTTTGATAGTATGGGTATCAAGGCAATGGGCCTATAATTATCTATTGAGTTTGTTTTGCCGGCTTTATGTAAGGGTTTTATAATTGTGACTTTTAATTTTTCTGGAAAGACCCCTTGTATGAAGGATAGATTAATTAAATAACTTAGAACTGGCGCGATTTCTGATTTATTTGCTTTAATAATATTTGTGGTGAGTTCGTCATAGCCCATAGAGGTTGTATTTTTCAATGTTGCTATTATTTTACTTATTTCGGTATCATCAGTTGGAAAGAGAAAGATACTAGCATCAATATACTGTACATTGTTAGCAGCTGTTTTTACGTGTATAGGTTCATTATGTTCAGAACCCAAATTTGCCCAGTATTCATTAAATGTTGTAGCAATTTCTTCTGGTTTATTAATTATATTATTATTATGTATAATTTCTCTTAGATAATTCTTTGTATTTTTTGCATTGTTATTTTTTATTAAATTCCAAGATGCTTTACAAATGTTGGTACTTCTATCCATATATTTCTTATTACAATTTTTTTGCGAAATATTAATACACTTTTTTAATACATTCGAGTATTTCTGATACCTTATTTTGTTTTTTAAGTTTCTTTTTTTGTAATATATGTATCTAAGTAATCTTTTTTGTCTACATGCTTTACGTATCCCTTTCGTTATCCATTGATTACTTTTTTGTTGCGGTATTATTTTGACAGTTTTAAAGGGGATGCATAAATTATAAAATAATGTCAAATACTCGTGAAAAGTATTAAAGGCTTTATTTACGTCAGATTCATTATAAATTTCCGACCAAGTTAATTTCTTCAAGCACTCATTGAGTTTGTCTATGTGTTCCGAACTAAAATCTCGCCTCTTAATAAAAAAATATTTCAATTTACCTCGTCTGTTGCCTATTGGAATCATCAGTGATTGGGCTGTATCATGATCCGATAGTCCCAAATAATGTATTTTGCCATGAGCTTCGGGAATATTACTGATTACGAGGTCAATACACGCCTGCTGTCTAGTCGGCTCAATAATATGTGATACAAACCCATGGTTTTGAACTATACTTAGGAATTCTCTACAACAAACGCTGTCCTTCAAAATATCAATATTAAAGTCACCTGTTATAATAGCTTTTTTATTTGTTTTGAGCTTAAGTTTATTTAAAAGTTCATTCCATTTATGTAGAAATAAGTTCATTGTTGATTTTTTATTGTACGGAATCCTATACAGGCAAATTATTATATATTTATAATCGGTGAGTTCTATCCCACAGCATTCAAATTGTTTTTCAACAGACATCTCCTTTAGGTACGGCACTTTTTTGTACTGTAAATCATTTCTGCACCAAATACCAACTCCCCCGCGTTTTTCATTTTTACGAGAAAATGTTTCAGCAAGATCATAGTTTGGTAACTGGAAGTTACTTTCATGACCTGACTTTATAAAAGTTTCTGAGAGACATATAACATCTATATCACTGAAGCCTTCTGCTAGCTCACCTAATGTTACTAGTAGGATATCTCGCTTACTAAAAATGCCAGCAATATTTTGATGTAATATTGTCAAGTAATTTTCTTTATTAACGAAAAAACTCTGATTGGTTTTTATTAAATGATTTTTTATTTTTATTCTGTAAATTAGTGGTATTCATATTATGACATAATCCTAGGTCATCTGTAGGCTCATTTTCTTTTATAGTATGGCTTGTTAACTTTATTTTTGGAAAGTAATCTGTGATTTTTTCTTTTTGTCGCTTTCTTATACTTTGTGTTTGCTTTGATGTATAGTCAATACCAGTATTCTGCATAATTAAGCTATAACATTTTCTAGCGCAATTTAAATTTTTAATAAATTCGTAGTCATATCTTAAAAAGTCAATTTCAATATTTAATTTTGTCGAAATCATGTCAATTAATGAAGTATTATAATTGTTATTTTTCACTTTATAGTCAATATTTATAAATTTACAATGAGGATAGTTACTAACCATAGATTTTATGTCATAATTCAATTTATCAACATTAAGATATGGGTTATTCTGAATATTTAATATTAATATTTTGTTATTCCTAAAAAACGACAATACATTACACAATTCTGATAGTAATTTAAACGGATTTTTATCATTACTACCTAAAGACAATACAATTATATCATTTTTTGACACATTTATATTATAGCAACTACTTAGTATTTGTTTGGCGTTAGCAAACGGTTTTACAAAACTGTTAAGGGTATAAATATCATTCCACTTATTACGCCTATTTTTTATCATTTTTAGAGTCAGCCCACTTACTTGTTCATCTCCAAATATATGAATTTGAGGTTTATTTTCACATGATATTATACAAGATTTGTTTACACTACATTGTTTCATATGTCTGTCACATTGGTATGGCTGACGTGACTTCTTGCATGTGCCGCCATCTATGATTTTATGCTGACCTTTTTGGCTGCTGCATGCTACTGCAGACAAAGATTGTTGTTGATTTATATTTTCTTCTATAGTTCCATTCTGTAATTTTTGAATTAAGTTTTTTAAACACTCAATTTCATTGTTCGATTTCTGTAGTGCTTGTTCCAAATCGGAAATTTTTCTTAGAAAAGATGAATATTCCATATTAGCTTCCTTTGTTGCAGATGATCTTGGGGGGGTGAAAAAGTTTTGCGATAATAATTGTCTCTTTTTGCTTGTATGTGGATAATCTATTTTCGGTGATTTACATAAGTTTTTTAATGTTTGTATGTCTTTAGTCATTTTAGCAATTGATCTTTTAAGTTCATTATTCTCTATGATAGTATTTTCCAATTCAGTTTGTGTAGTACTCAGCTCCGTTTGTAAGGATCTTATTTTCTCTTGAAGTTCATTTTCTATCGACTTATCATTGGGTAATGTATGTTCGAAACTCCTTGATAGCCTCTCTGTAATTTTGAACGAGTCTTCGGATAAATCACTCTCAATGGGACTACTAGTTTTGCTCATTTGATGAATATTAATAGGCGTAGAGGTTGGTGAAGCAATAATGTTACTAGTGCTAGTAGTAAGTTTGTAACTGTTACTTATCTCATGAGGTGTAACCGATAGTGGCGTGGTGATAATCTCAAAACCAGGTGATTTTTCTGTAGCATTATGATTCTGTTGTAAATTTTTACTTTTTTTTCGTGTAATAATATTATTCTGTTCAGCCGGATTGACAGTGATTTTTTTATTGGCATTAACACAAATACTGCATTTCCAGTTTTGTTTTTTTGCAGGATTCATGATACGATACAGCTTTTCAGAAATCCCTACACAATCCAGTTCAAAATAATGTTTACATTTCGAACAACAAATAGTATCTCGTTTATTACTATTGGATTTACATTTGTGGCATGTGACTATTTGTGCTGCCATCTCGCGCCTGTTTTATAAAGATGTTTGGAATGTATGTTATTTTTCACTTGTATTTACAAAGTGGTCACAATTCTTCAAACAAGTTTACTTATTAATGTCTTGATCAATGTAGTTGCAAATACTTTTACACTTGAGTCACAGCATTATCCAAAAAGTAATCCTTTTCTGTGCGGAATCGAAATCAGATCCCATTGCCCTGCATCCAGTTGCGAATCCAATACACCACAGAGATATATTCTAATTTGGCGAAATTGGTATTAACTTTGTGTATATGGTTTAATAATAAGTGTACTTGATTCTTTTGTGTGTGGTAGATGGCGCCTGTTTATCAAAAAGCATGCAGTTTAGCATAAGAATAGTGCTCTTAGTATCACAGCTTAGTATAGATTTAAAGTAGCACAAATGTAGTGGTATCTGTACAGATGGCAGTGTAGTACAGCTCGTTAAAACAAAAATCTGCCTTATTGAAATGATGACAGTGGTGATATTATCTTATCATCGTAACACTTATTTGAATATTATCAACTGTCATTTTTCATTATTTTTCTTAATTTCTTCTTCTTGTGTAATTAATTGTTAAAAATATTTAATAGAAATTACATATAAGTATTTGTTTTACTATGACTATATGTATTTGTAATGTAATACCAGAATAAGCCTTCCTTTTTTCATGGGTCTGTCTTCAGTTATTTTTACGCAATTTCACACACACTAGGTCACGCACTGAGTAACTATCATTAATCCTTGGAATTTATGAGTCACTTTATCCGAGGTATACCAGTAATTCACATAAAATGCACTTTATCAATTTAAATTATCAAAATAGAACCGATCCGATGTTTACATGATAGCGAGCGCCATCTGTCTGGTCTACTCATTACTCATTTCATCTCAAATAATTCAAAGCCCATTTTATTATTTTTATCAAAACAGACTTTATTTTACTAAAGCGCCTGTGGAATAGCCTTCACAAAAGCTGCCAAAACACAATTAAAAATGTTTATTACATAATAAATAAGTAAAATTATGCAGTGTCACAGGGTTCATTATTAGGACCACTAAAAGTTATAAGCGAAGTAAATAATAAGGGAACCTTAGTTTTTCTCGACTATTCCAATCTCATTAGCTGTGTTGTACAAAGTGACTTGACACGCTTTTGCCTCTATTCGCTTCGGACTAATTAACACTAACACCACCGACGGACGGTATAGCTTAATTATTTTCCACAGTTTGTACGTAATTTACTGAACCTACGTATATAATTAACAAAATATGATTATACTGTCGCAATAATTCATGTCTAACATTTTTACAGGGAATTATTTTACTTCACAATATATTGTTTATTAAAATGATTATTCTGTGAAAATAATTACCCACCACATGGGTTTATTGCAAATTGGCGAGTATTGCAGAAGAAACAGGACCAATGTCTTAACATGCCTTCCGAAGAGAGAAGCTGGAATTAATAAATTTTTGATCACGCATCTTTGCCAAAACTTATCAAAAACTGCTTAACCACCGTCTGTGCAAGTTTATATTTCACTATGTCAAGAAAAAAAACCATGTTATAACCAATTTCTTTTTTAATTTTTTGTTCTCTTATCAATAATTCCATATGTTAATATTGATTTCTTATATTTTCACGCGCCCTATCCACAAATTAAACTTTTTGACTGCTTTCGGACCCTTTACAGGATTCCGTGTTCACATAAGACTAAGTTACCTGTAAAGGGACTGAAACGTCAATAAAACTAAATACAAACGCGATGAAATCGTTTAAAAGATAAAATACAAAACGAAGGTAATAAAAAACTATTTCAATGGCGATCGGCTTGACAACAGTAATTTATTTATTTCTATTTATGTATTTTACATCTTAATTTTAACACAGACAATACTAAGAAACATGTTTTGTTAGTTTATATAAAAATAAAAATAACGGTATTTACAAGGATACAAGGTTCAAAATTGTCTATTTTATATCTTTGTATATATGAAATTTCTTTAGTATAAGGGGTATTAGTCTCGGGGAATGTCACTTAAATTTAACGCGTTTAGATCATTTAGCCCCCACTGGAATGCTTGGAATGGCCATCTGATGAGTTTTCACGCTAAATAACGCGAACTATATAAACTCTCCTGCGAAGATGATTTATGATGTTTTCCTTTTTTTATTATTAATCGTAATCTTTACAGCGTGATCGGTATTAGAGTATTCCTTATTGCGAATTCGCTCACGATTCCAGGATTCCTTATTTCCATATTTATAAGAAATTCTATTCATTGAAAATGAAATTGAAAAACACCTTGACAACATTTTCAGTATTATTATATTATTATACGTATTGGTTCATATTTAATACCTTAAATTTTCTACAGTCAGACTTGATGATTACAATTTACGTTATTGAATAATATTATATAGATATTATTAAAAATATTATAAGAATTGTTCTACAAAAATAATCATGTTAATTTTGTATATTGAAGTCATAGCTAGATGAGTTCATCATATCACGTAAAAATATATTTACTTACTTAGCCTTAAGCAAATTATATCTCAGACCTAGCTACGTCTTCTCTTAGAAAGGTACAGAAGGTATACATACACATTAGGTGTCCTCGTGTCTTTGGTCTCGGTTATCATAGTTAGCTATAATGAGAGCGTCGATGCGACCTTAGCTTGTGATAATGACTTATTGCATTCGTCATATTTACTACATTATCATCCATTATTCTGCAGCGCCGTAAGTCTACGCCTCATGTGTAGCAGAAGAGTATACTGCCTAACCGAGGTCAAAGAGCGCGTGGTCTTTCTGTACCTGTCTATTAGTACAGGCACGGGCACGGGTGGCGGCCACCCGCCGGCGGGCCCGCGCCTGCGGTCAACGCCGACACCCACTCACCCGTGCCCGTGCTTGCAGGATGCACGCGGTGGGCCTGCACTCGGCGCTCGCTATCCGGCGTGAGCGCAAGCGGCGAGCAGAGCAACAGCGAGCCCGAGAGCGCCGCTACTCACTACAATCCTCCGAGTCCGGTGTCACATCACCGCACTGCTCCACCGGTAGCCTCGAACGACGCCGCTTCAGGAACACACGAACCACCGACAATGAGGTCGTTTCCTCTGTTGGTATGCTCCACCTCGGAGTCGTATTTGTAGTACTCGGTCTGTTCCTCATTGGCTCTGGCTGGCTGCCCGACGACGTCACATCTTGGAGCAGCATTGGCTCTGTCAGCTGGTTCAATGAGCTCGTGTGCTCAGGGTTATTTGCACTCGCCATTGGCATATTTTTAATTGCATTGCATAAGTACCTGATTAAAAGTGAAGAGGATGCTTTGGAAGACTACGTACAAAGACAATTGACACGGTCCCGCTCAGGGCACAGATTGGAAAGGGATGCAGAAACAGGGGGGATGCACACTAAACATACCAGACGAGCTAGAGCAACTGAAGTACTTCCAGAAACCATAACAGAAACTTACGTAGAGCCATCGCCTGATAGAGCACACGGCTTTGTTAACGCACTTGCGTTGAATGGAGACGCTCTGAGAGAATCCCCCCTTGAACAGATTGTTGAAGAAGAAATATCAGTTACTTCGGAGACTGATAGAAGATTGGGTCGATTTAATAAGGACACTTATTCTACGCCGTCCGTCGCACCTAGCTTGAGTCCTGGATCACCTTCTGATACTAAGGAGTTGTTATCAGGTGGACATTACATGATTATGTCCCGGATGTGAGCAGGTTAGATTTCGGCAAATCAATGATTATGAACGATTTTTTCCCGCGATTACAATTTAGTTACAGAATTTCCATACTGTAATTCTTACTGTAATCTTTCGCTGATTGATGCTATAATATGTCAGGAATCAGTGACTTGTCGAAACCATTCCTGTTCATTTCTCGAGTGTGCAAGACTATCCTGTAAAGTGATTTGAACTTTTAAGTCTAATATGATCAGGGAAGACACCTGTTCCCAAGTTGTTTTTATGCCTACAAGTATTTCGTAACTTCATGACAGTTCTGCTATATTTTTAAGAGTGGCCTTCGAAGCTTCAAAGCGGCGTTACAACTGGCATTTTTAGTTAGAGAATTGCTTGTACTTATATTTTAACAGATGGACCAAGTCTTTTTTAGAATAGCAGTAAGTTAATTACCCCATTTACTATTGCAATCATAATAGTTAAAAATGTTTCTATTCTTTATTTACATAAAGTCTTTGCATTTTTCATAGTTAAATATGATATTAGATATTTTAGAAGTTATAATTTGAACACCAAATTCGACCGCTATAATTTCAAACCATAAACATTAATGTCTATCAAGATCAACTAATAAGATTGAGACGGAATTGTTTTTGAGAAAATCTATTAGTGATCCGCCATTTTAGATGTTTGCAATAATAAAAGGGGCATGATGTGTAATGTTATTATGGACGTCATTGCGTGTGTTTTGGCTTGAGACTGATTGTTATATACTGTTCTTGTATCTAAATGTTTTGTAAGTACGGTATTAAAAGTCTTTTTATGTTATTGTCGCGTATTATTCACAAGTATTTAAATATTTATATGCCATAACCTTACCATATTAAATTTAATGTTCTTAAAAATTTACCCGCTATGTTCTTTTTGTATCAATATACTGATTTTTTGTAAAATTGTGCCAAAATAGTTGTGGCAATAATATTTTGAATTGTTTTTATCTACTGTCGTATCTTATAAAACATTATAATATTTTAACAATTTTTTTTACGGTCTCACAGTTTAACTTCATTGTTAGATTATGAAAGTTATGAGGTTGTATGTACTCGTTTTATGTTGCTATTTTCATTTGAACGATATTTATTATTTAATTTAAGGCTGTGAATATCATTCCCGTATAGACTAACAGTCTAATAAGAGTTCATTATAACTAATGTATACATACTTATCATTGATATTAAATTAAGCTTACACAAAACACGAGCTTAGCTTCACTGAATGCTCAAATATAATGTAATTATAGTTTTCACCTCCCCCCTCTTTCTATTCCTATTATCTCTTTCTCATATTATTCTTGGTTATGATAAATATTTCACAACGTGTTCTTCAAATTTTATTATTAAAATTATCTAAAAAAAAATTAATCTAAAAGTTTTCTCCTTCATAAATTTCTCACTTATAACGTAGCATTTCTGATTCTAAAAATACTTTTTCACAGCATAGACTTAGTATGATTGTTACAATAAGTAAAAGTTTTTTTAAAATTAAAATGAATTTGCTGTTTAGGCTAAAGTAATTCAAATAAAATTAATCATTAACCCATATCCCAGGCGAACCAACATTTGTCTGATTATCGACCCAAATCTAGATAACTCATCAGTCTTTATTGACGCCGATCAGTGTATATTTTATGATACCCTATGATTATTGTTACACTGCAACAACGGCCGGCGATGCCATATCAGTAACATTATTTTAATTTTTGAAATTGATTCACCAGTGGTTGAATTGAGACATACTAAGTTGTCGTATAAAAGGTTGTTTATGAACTTTGTCATAGAAAATACCACGCTACGAAGATATTCGCAAAAAAAAGGAAAAGAACCATGTAGTTTTTATATTCAATTTATTATAATTGGAATCTATTTTCAAACTGAAAAAAAAATCAGTTGGTCTCTTTAAATTAATGTTTTTACAAAGTTTACTAACTTCTAAAATATAATTTTACAAAAGATTCGTTATTTGTCTTTCATTTGTGACTAAATTATATCCTATATCATCTGCGTATGGTATAGTATCTTCGTGTAGGTGAAATAATGTTTTAAATCGCTCCACTAGTTTCTGAGCCTATTCAATGAAAAGAACCAAGCAATTAAATCTTGTCTTTGTATAATATTAGTATAGAAAAGAGATATTTTATTAAAAATAATTTGTCTAACAATGGCAATCCATTATTAGAGAATTGTGAAAATTTATCATTTCCAGGAAACGTTAGTGAATTTTTTAATCTCTATCTCTAGTCATAGTACTAAGTGCTGTCTATTGAACATTGCCTTAATAAGAAACAATTTCACGTGTACTTGTAATAGCACAATTTATTCATGATAACATTTATTACGTAAGTTATGTGATGGGAAAATATTTGAAAATGTTTTATACATTGAATTGAATTCAATAAGTATCTAATAAAAAATGACAAAAACCATTAATTAAATATTTTTCCATCACACAAGTAGACTAAAATAGACCTATTGAATGTCTAGAACGGGCTAGCTTGTGTGTGTGTCTTTGGATAATACCTTTAAAACTCGTGTATATTGACCCACTGACGATATCTGTGTACTGATTTGAAGAACAAACATTAATCTGATAAAATATACGAATAACAAAAAAATATGAATACACTGAAAACAGAACTAATATGATACTTCGTGAACCTTAGTTTGCGCAATCCTAATATGATCAGTCTTGTTTTAATAACTATAAGGTGTATAATGCACTAAATTTCAATCTGTGTTGGACTCAAAAGAGGATGCAACCCACCTATAATTATTATGATTGGCCAATAACTCACTTATTAAAAAAAAGCTATATCGATTGCGTTTTAATGTAATCACACAAATTAAAAATAGAACATGAATATTGATGTGGGCCTATTCTAAAACACAAAATTGGACAACCGGACTAATTTAGATATTCCAATTTTAAAAGTTTGTTACAGTATGTATAACAAGTGTGTACAGTAAAACAACATTGTATATATTAAAGATATACATATTGTGTACATATTACGGAAAATATGTGACGGAATAGACCTCCAGGTCCATCTTAAATACCTTTTATAATTATGATTATAAAAGGTATTTAAGATGAGTCTTACATTAATATTATGTTTCAATATTGAATGATATAGCTTAGCGTTTTAAATTAATGATATGTCTATTTGCGTCTAGAGCGCTCAAATGTATAAATAAATGTTGTATTTAAAGTGTCAAGCATTCCGATTAGGACTTCCTTGTTATTTTTAAAAAGAACTAACATGTTATATGGATATGAATTATTATTACTTAGAAAAATATTGCGGTAAATGGGTGGTCAAATATAAACTCGGTAAAGTTCGATTCTTTTGAGTGCAACATTTATTTAGTTTAGCTTATTTCGATTCTTATCACTCAGAGTATTTACTACTGGAGTTGTATAAGCTCTTTAAAGAAATATAATTTATTAAATATATACGAATTTAATAAAAAAAAATTCTATTCCAGTAACGAAAATATCTTCCACATACGACAGATTTTCGCTAAAACTATGCGGGACATCTTAGGAATGTACAAAATAAAAAATATTAAATTATTCACTTTATCTTATGAAGTCTGTCAGTTTTTTATAACCTATAAAGAATTTCAAGTTGATTTTTTATTAATACGTGGCGTGGATTTCAATCAGTTAGCGGCATCTTAATGCTATAAGAACTTGTAACGCGCTTGAATTATCGAATAAGATCTACACTAATCGGGTAGTGATCTAAATCGACTGAAACTTTTCGGAATAAGTCTTTGAGTCTTATATATGATGTATTTTCAAGGACTTATTCGCTAGTTGATAGCTGTCTCGCATAGCTTTAGTGGAAACGCGTCTTTATACCTATAAGCAATATATTTGAGTGTATAACAAACTGTACAAAACGAAAATTAGATTCTAAATTAGTGCATCACGTGAGAATAAATGTACTTATTTAAACAATATATACCAAATTCTGAATAATGTTTTCAGGCGACAAAAAGTGAATCCAAGAATTTCATAGATTTTCGTCAGAAAAATAAATGTGTTGTGGCACAATTATTCGATAAGTTTTATTACCATTTTTAATTATGTTCACACAGTATGCAGATTTCTTTTTGGTTAGTAAAAATAAATTACTCTGTCGCCTCATTGAAATTTGTCCACATAACTTGTTGCATTGATCTAACTACAGCTATATTATTACTGCTAAAGCTATATATGACTTCACCCCTCTTTTTCACCCCTCTAGGGGTAATATTACTAAAAATCCTTTCTTAGTGCTCACTTAAATCATGAAACCAAATTACAGTAGTTTCTGCTGTGCATAGCCGCTGCTCAAACTTCGTACGTGTAAAATATAGCCTACGTCAACCCTGTATGATGAAGCTACCCGCACATGAAAGAATTTTTAAAATTGCTCCAGTTGTTTCAATAAAATCTTTCCTCTTTATAATATAAAGTATAAATTCATAGAAAGTAAGTGAACATTTTCAGAGTAATTAATAAACAAGTTTTAGCGTTGGAGTAAATTTACGCTGAGACTGCACTTAGTATTAGTCAGAATTCATATTATTAAACAGAGATAGACGGCCGGTTTCTGAATTGAGAAAAGTTCAGAATCTCAACTGGATATTCTCAATAACTTAAGCTTTTTACGTTTTACATGATACGATTACAAATAGGCCAAGTATTATCAAACTGTTATCGACTTATCATTAAAAAAATTAAATCAGAAACGAAAACCTGTTTAAATGACATTTGAAATGGCTTAAGTACGGTTTTAGACGTGCTTAACTTTAAATTCTCAATTCAGAAACCGGGTGTTAGCAAAGGTTAACTTAGTATGAGGGTCTACGGGAGTAATAGTTACTCCTCGAAGGTAGTTGGTTTTCTTATTCTCTGTATAATATGAATTTGGAATAATACTATAATTACAATTTGAGCGTAAGTTTACGCTGACGCTAAAATTTTTTCAT